GCCTAAACCCAGAAGACAACGTTCTTCATTGTCATCGCCGTGAAAACCTCAAAACTTACATATGTAGTATATCTTGTTCATCCAGACAATGAAGATTTTCTAAGGAAATTGTTATGTATGATGTAACATCTGATAATCCATCTACTTACGTTTCTTCATAACGCAATCTTTTTTATCAAGCAACATGAAAAAATTGAATTTTTAACACTAAATAACATCACTGAATAGGGGTTTCTATTTATATCGTGTAATCTAAGAACAGACTGTACCGCGCACATGCAATATTTTCTTATAAGTCAAATCCCTGTTGCTATAGTAACGTATGACTTCTCCATTTGCATAATTATAGTCCAAATACCAACCCATCGCTGGTATCATGTAAGCCTGCTGAATCCTAAGTATAATAATATTTCTTGAAAACAGATTTCTGTCTCTAAGTGTTTCTCATAGAACAATGCTTAAGCCTGAAGTGGTGATGAGAACGGGAAGCAAAGAGATGAAGCTCAAGAATCAGTGGTTCGCAGTTTGTGTTAATCAGAGAATCGTGGAGTGTTTGTCTTGTGTCAGTCACAATTGGGAGATATCACAAAGGCAGAAGGAAACTTTGTGGGCTGCTTACACAACACTTAACGATCCACTAAACTAAAGAGGAAATCAGTGCATGAACGTTTCTGTGTGTGCGCGCCTCTGTGTTAAGAGGACTGGAGGAAAGTGTTTATGAATCTATTCGGTAAGAGGAATATACTCAAAAGAAAAAATAATTTGAACATTTTAATTTTTCACTTTAATATGAAGAAGTAATTTGGCGAATGTACTGGGTTTCTTTATCATATATTTTAATTTTATTGCCAAATTCTTCTCTGTGAAAACGAAAGACTGTTTAATATTTCTTGTCTAAGGTTCTTGTAAATAAATCACATTTAATCAGTGAGTTGTGTAGAAAAATACAAAGAGACTGCATGAAAAATGCTTGCCATTCTACAATGAGATAGAATGTGTGTGTAAAAGCAGAGGAGAGCACGGATTTGTCCGTATAAGCTTCTGTTATATTGGTTATATAAAAAGAGACAGTGTGAAGGCTTCTCGTTTGTGCCGCTTAAAATATCTGTCCGCTGAAAAGTGGATATGTACAGCTTTTATTCTGTCTCCCAGAGCATATCTGCTTGTCAGAGTTAACATGGTTACTGAAACAACAGAAATTCTCGTCAGATATGAAGTATTTCACGTTTTCAGTCACATATAATCAAAGGTGATGGAAACCATTTTTTTAAATTGAATTAAAAATACAAATATATGTTTATATCATTATATATAAATTCATTACAAACATACTGAGTATTAAATATTTCGACTTTATACGACATTCAACACAAATAAAAATAAGGGGAACAGTAAATCCTCTTAATTATAAAAATTAAGGAATGAAATGAGACATTTACATAACATAGATATTAAGGTAAGTGTACAGAGTGCACGAAGTATGTTAAATGTTACCTTCTATTGTTGCTTGAAAGATCGACATTGTAATAAATAGTTCTTAATTTCTGAATGTTCTTGTCACCAAAGAAATCTGTAATACTGTCACTTCTGTATAAAACACAACATATAATTCTTGGAAGGTGCATCAATAAAATGTACATTATTGTGGAGAAGAGTAGTTGAAAGTAAATTATACTAAATCTAGTACGCTTTCCTATCACTTCATACTCACGCTTTATTCTAAATAAGCCTTATAAGCATCTCACTTTATTCTAGGACTACTTACTCCATGGCCTGTGGTCCGCAAGCTAACTATACCGACCGAGCGACCGCCGCTTGTCGGCGAAGTTAGTGCCAACTTTTGCGGATAGAGGGCGTCACATGGTCAGAGCAACGGATCCCCACGGTCGTTTCTTAAACCGGAGCCCCTATTTCCTTGAAGTAGCTCCTCAATTATCATCATGAGGCTGAGTGGACCCCGTTCCAGACCCACCACTTCTCAGAAAATCTGGTAGCGCCGGGAATCGAACCCGGAACCTCTGGATCTGTAGGCAGGAACTCTGACCACTAGACCACAGAGGCTAGAACTACTTACGGTATGTTAAATAGACCTATGTAAAGAAGAGTTCTTAAATTTTTGCATACATTTTCAATTATGATAAATTAGTCTGTCGACCTAAGACTCCGAGATAATATTAATATTAACACAAGGATAATCCCACCAACATTTCTAGCAGACCAAATTTTTCTTACGATGATATAAAATACAGAATTCAAAACTTTCATAAATTTAAACTGTGCTATATTTGTACTATTTACAAAATAATATATTACTCCGTGGCTTTAGTCCGCAAGCGAACTGTCCTAACCGAGCGACAGCCGCTTGTCGGCGAAGTTTAGCGGACAGAGGGTTTCCCATGATCAGCGCAAAGAATCCCCAAGGCCGTTAAATTCGGTTTTCTTGACCATATTACAATTTAATAATTAAATACATTCTCTGCCTTACTCTGAAATTAAGCTGTAAGCAATTTTCATACGCTGAAAACGTAACAAATCGATCTGAGATCCGAGTCCGTAACTGCGGTGATTCTGAAGGTCACTGTCTTCCGGGATGTCATATCGTGTAGTATGGCAGACACATACGAATGTTTCGGAGGAACCTTCTGCCTCCATCTTCCGAAGAAGGATGCACTGAGTTCATCCAGAACGTTCACAGCGTCACAAAATATACGGCAGCAAATTTTAGCAAAAATTCCATTTTCATTCACATACGAAACGATTTACCAAACATTGAAACACTGTGGTACATTTCCACTCCACATTCCTGATGCTCCGCTTTCAAGTCGCTGCCCATCTCGCGATTTTCCTCGCTTCGTGCAGACAAACTCTGAGATGGTCCCTTGAATATATCAAGAACCTTCCGTCCTTGTAACTTCCACCGCAAATTGTAGTTTCACAATTATCTTCCAATTCGACACTATGTGCCCAAGGCCATGTATGTAAAGGATGTTTCACTCGGGGCGGAACCCGGCATTTCGTTATCTTCCACTGCTTTGTGAATCAGCTGGACGATGAGGAATTATCCATCGGTTATTTCCAGCAGGATGGTGCAACAGCACACACCTCGCGCGCAAGCATGGCCGAAATCCAGTCTTTTTTCGGCGACCGCGTCATTTCCAGGGGACTTTGGCCACCGCGCTCGCCCGATCTAACGCCGCCTGATTATTTTTTGTGGGGACATTTGAAAGCGCAAGTTTACGCCAACAAACTGCGAACCATAGAGGCTTTAAAAGCAAACATAAGTGAGGCCATCCAAGAAGTGACACCTCACGTACGGGCAAGGACTTTCCAAAACATGGCGCGCCGAGTCCAATGCTGTCTGAACGCAAATGGTGGCCATTTCTAGCACTTGTTATGATGTCACCAGACTTCACATGAACTGAGGTAAGTCCACTCCAAATTTCGTTGCAATATCTTTATTAGTATCCAAGTTATTAACAAAATGCCGGGTTCCGCCCCGAGTGAAACACCCTTTATATATCGTTAAATAAACCAAGAAATTAAGGAATCTCACTGCAGTGAAGGCAAAGACGGAAAAACTGACAACGTTCCAGGATTATGTGGCATGGCCAGCGGCAATACTGAGACCTTGGTTGAGACTTATTCCTTCAGGAAGCATCTAACTGGTCTCCGAATAGGAAACGTCAATTTCTTTATCGTTGTTGAGAACATGGAATAAATTTTATGTTCTAACTACATTGGATGTAATATTTATTATGAGTCTTGTGACGTAAAAATACAATACGTCGGTATCAAGGTACAATTTAGGTGGAACTATGAATAGAAAATTTAATTTATTATGAAGAGAGAAAAATTTTAAATTTTAAATTCTCTAAAGTGATTATTCTTCCGAGACTTTTCAAACTTTTTTAAAAATACATAACTTCAATAACTTTAAAATTCTTGGAATCGCAGCCCCATTTATACTAATGTACTGAGTTTGATATGACAACATTTAGCAAGCAGTATTGTTGTTTAGTTATAAGCTATGAAGCTTTATCTCCTAAGGTCGACACTACAATACCGACCCAAGCATGTATCCCATTGTAGTGTATTTCTGTTGTCGTCTTCTCCTGTTCGTAAATACTTCCAGCCGTACATAACTACACAACAACAAATGTTAACCTCTTATACAAAAGACTTTAGGAACTACTGACTACATCCGAGTCACACCATCTGTAGATTATGTAAGCTGAGGTAATCCAGTGGGATATACACGCAAGATGACAACCCAATAATTTATACTACAACTTGTGTTTAGAAGATCTCCACGGAGATCACGTGATGTATATAACTTCTTTGTAAACTCCTGTTCATTTTAAACATGTTAAGGAACAAAATGGTGCTTTCACTTGTGATATATTTGAAATGCTATTCGTCAACTTGACAAGACACAAAACAGGAACACATTATGCAAGACTTGAAAATCCAACGTAAGTAAACTCCTTATTCTTCTTCTTCTTAGTAGCCCACATACCCTACATATCGATACGTTTCAATAATCTGACAACACTTTCTTGCCTTTTTCACCGGTAAAATAATACGTTGCCGTTCTTAATCTTCTTCGTGAACACAAAAATGGGTAAGTCTTACGATCTGTTCCTTTAAAGCTCTCAAAACTTGTCTACATACGTACATGCTGAAAACTTGTCTATATATATGTACACGCTCAAAACATGTCTACATACGTACATGCTCAAAACTTGTCTACATACGTACATGTTCAAAACCTGTCTACATACGTACATGTTCAAAACCTGTCTACATACGTACATGCTCAAAACTTGTCTATATATGTACACGCTCAAAATTTGTCTACATACGTACATGCTCAAGACTTGTCTATATATGTACACGCTCAAAACTTGTCTACATATGTACATGCTCAAAACCTGTCTACATACATACATGCTCAAAACTTGTCTACATACGTA